GAGTACCCCCCCCCCCCCCGGGACTTTTCATGTAATATTTTAAGCAGCTTTTGAAGGAACTAGATATACAATAATTTTTGACTCGATGCGGGCTTTTGTTACATGTTTATAAGCAATATTATATGCTGATCTTTACAAAGAAATATATATACTTTATTCTCACTACATTTACCAATTCTAAATCTATATTAAAACAAAAAACTACGATTTAGAAGAATTTTAGATGATTTATCTACGGCTTTTCATGTGTGTGCCCTGGCATTGTGTGACGTATTAAAATTCTGTAATTGTGTGACATGACTTGTTTTGGCTACTATATAATACAACATCTTGGTCTGCCTGTGATCAACTGATTTTATTTTATATTTACAAATTTCTATAAGCTATGCATCTGCAGTTTTTTTTCATAAGTGTTCATAACCTTATATTTTGGTTTTCTTTTTAAAAAATTTAAAAAAATATTGGGGTAGGGGGTCTCTTATACATTGCTGGCTTCATACATTTCATTTACTAAGAATTAAAAATCAAATCAAAATTTAACATCTACGCACAACATAGGACAAGTAATATTACTACTAATTTCTTTTTTCATTCTTATGTAAATTATTCTATTTTTGCTTATAGCAACAAGTGGTCATTATGGAACTAGAGGTCAAGCAAATTCACTGTCAAAAAAGACCATTACATTTGAAGACTTCAAGAAACAAAAAGAAGCGATAAGGCAATCACTGTTTAAAAAATTAGAAAAAAAGATGAAGCCAGCAAAACAGAAGAAATCTGAGCCTTTGAAAGTCCAAGTGGGACTAGTAACTTATGATTGTGATGTAAACTACCTGAAAAAAGTTAAGGAAAGAACAATTCCCATTTTCCTGGAAACGGACGCAGATGCTCACTCACTTCTTTCAACAGCTGTTGAAAAGCATGGCAGACACTTTAAACACTTAGACGCCTCTCTTCCATATGTTGTCCTGTATTTGGACATGTCACTAGTGAATTTTTTACCTCGTAGTGCATTCAAGTTCACACTCCAGAAATACAAAGACGACCTACTAAAGCTATACTCCAAGATCTACTTCTGGCTTTTCGCAAAAGATGATTTCGAAGATTTTAATGAAAGATGTAGCAGTGATGAATCCGATCTTGGTAAACTGTCAATAGATATAAAATCTCCGCCAAGTCCAATAACTCCAACTTATTTCATACTTGATTCAGTTTTCTTTGTTATTCGTAGTGTTGTATCTAGCTTATTCCACAGCTCATTGTGCATTCAAGTGCTTTATATCGAAGTTTCAGGGCAATATCTAGATATTGCCCTTGAATACTCATGTACTTATTGCCCTTGAATAGCTAATCAACTACTACGTTCAACTTAGAAATTTTCCGTCTGAAACTTTAAACTTGAAAGAAAGAAAGAAAGAAAAAATCAAATGACACCAAGTAGATTCGAACCCACAACCTTAGCTTTGAAAATTCTACACTTAACACGTTATCTTAACTGACTAATCGATGTAAGTTGTGGAATAAAACAGTTATTCAACATTGTCCAGTTACTTATTACAAAAGGTATATTGTTAGAGAAAAATGGTTACGCAAATTATACCGTTGGGAATTGTCAATACAGTAAATATTGTAACCTTTCTAATCGAGGTTTTGGTYTTTAATTCATATGAAAACGGCTTCTTTGCCTATTTAAAAATGAAAAYATTAATGCAGTGCTTGGAAAACTTCTTCAAGTATGAAATAAGCCAGATAAATACCTCGAACGTCGGCAATAAGCCTATAAAGCCCTCGGGGCCTACGGCCCCTCGTGCTTTATATGGCTTATTGCCTCCGTTCTCGATATTTATCTCTTACATATACTGGTGCTGCTGGCTATGCATCACCTACAACAACATCGACATTTACTGGTGCTGCCTATGTGCCTCCTACAACATCAATGGCAACATCTTCTGGAACATCAGCAGCATCAATTATTAATATTATTATTTGTTTCTAAATTATTCTGAGAACCTTATGTTGTCTTATAGGTGGTCTTTCAAAGTTGTTCCAGTTTATTACAGGATCCCACAGCCTCACAACACTAGGATCAGTAGATATCATCAAAGTGAAATTCAAGTATGGGTGCCCACATGGCTGCAGATGTAGGCCTAAAGCATCTACATGTACATGTGATCCAACAATCTACTTGCCAACCCATTATAAAGATATGGCACTGTTTGAGCCGAGTATCAATTCTGCAATTGAAGGTGTGAGATTTGGACTTATATAGTACTGATGAAATAATGCAATGGCATATATTATAATACCAATATATACATGTTTGTAATTAAAAAATTGTTTTATTTTCAAGCATAATCCAAGTGAGGTTTTTGTCTAAATGGCATTGTGTTGACCCAAACACAATACAGAAACATAAAGCCAGTTGTCCAAGATTTGATTGAGAATACTATTACAAATTAAAATATAGGAGAATTTATGAGAAGAGAAAAATATTTATTATTTAAGTATATTTTTATATCTATTTTTAACTTTTGATGAATAAGAAATGATTCACTTGATTTAACTTGAAACAAAAGAGGTTGTCATAGCATGGTGAGATGTCATGTCTTCTCCGCGTTCAAAAATAACTCTGGTCTTGCCTGATGTATCGTAAATTAATGTATGCCACAGATGTCCTTTTTTCAATTTCATTAGTTCCTAGTCTTATCTTATTATACCATGTTGAAGTATGATATAAAATGCATATATAATAGTACATTCAAGAGAACAATGCAAAAATACCTTTTTTATATACTGAAACCTCAGATTTGTAGAGGTACATTCACTTGATAATCATGTAGTGATAACTATGGCAATTAGAATGGTCGGTAAAGATGCAAGTTTTGCCATGTTGCCTTGATCAGGATCGACAAAAATAACCAAGCACAGCTCCTTGTACTTTTTGGAGTGATAGAAACTGTATCTATGGAGTGCAAGTGACTATTTTTGCATGTTATTTGAAAACCATCATTACATGGGCTTCCAAAGGAAGACCATGTCTTAAATTACCGTCGTTCGTCTGTGGTATGCTTCAAATTATATCCGGGACCTTTTCATTTTTGACATCTATTGTCTTACTGTCATTCATGTTTCTAAGCAACGATTCAAAGGTCGCCTCGTGTGTATAGCCGGCAAAGTTTTAAGATCGAACATGTTGGA